AGCTGGCATATCTTGATAATCCTCCATGCTGCCCTTGGCACTGAGTTTACTTCATCCTGGCTGCTTGCAGTGCAACTGCTTGGATGCCGCGAGCTCGGCAAAGTAAGAATAGATGATAGATGATCTGGTAACGAAGTTCATGCATAGGCAGCTTACGGGTCTTAGAAGTTTGGGGCAGGACACTTCCAGAAACTGACCAGCTTCAGGTTCCGTGTTGCGCAGGATAGGTGTCAGTTAGGCTTCGCCGCATCCCCAATCAGCCCCAATCCTTCGCAAGGAGCTCCATGGACTTATTTTCGTTCAGGCAGGGAGATTTTGGTCTTGAGGCGTATATATTGCAACGCCTCCAACCCTAAACACCCAAACTTAAACCTAAACCCTGAACCCTAAACCTGAAACCCTAAACCAGATCCCCACGCCCATGCTCCAAACCTCAAACCCGAAACCGAAGCCCTGAGGCCGGGCGGTCTTCTGGTTCCTATGATGTGCATCGGTGCAGCTGCTGGCACGGGACCTGACATGCCACAGCTGGACATGTTCAGGTTCACTATAGTACATTCTATGATATTTTATTTTAGTACATTATTGTACATTATACGATATGATAGTATTTTACAGTACTTAGGGATTGGTTTCAGACGGGGATGCTAAGGATAAAAGTAAACAAGGGTGTCTAAAGATCACATCGGGTTAGTGGAGCTTTCACGGGACTACGTGCGGGCTGCTTGGCTTCTACAGAGTCTTGGGTAGTGCCTCAGTCTGACAGAGAGATTATTAAGGGGTATCCTAGCTACTCAGCTTGGGTGTTGATATGCGGCAATTTCTACAGCCCTGAGCGTGTTAGTGCTGGTTGCAAGTTGCTCTTGGCTCAGGAAGGAACTCTCACCAAGGATTCTTACTCCTCACGCTTTTCCTTCGAAAAAAGTGGTGTTATGGACTGCATGCTGTTGGTGCGTTGTGGTGCATGAAGGTTTGCATTCCCTCGCATCGTGCCTCCCCAGGGCCCTGGACCCAGATCACGCACCAAGGACGGCTTTATGGCATGTGCTGGTCGGAGCCTTGGCAATCTGCGCTTAGACTTTACCAAGCCTTGCCGTCTGCGCGAGCCCGGATCATTGTGACTCTGTGTCTCAACAATAATGGACCTCAATTTGAAATTCGGGCTCCAAATCTATTCCAGTTCGTTTGAGCTGGCCTTACTTCTGACAAGCACGCGTATGCATGCTCAAAAATCCAGAGCCTTCACTTCAGTGAAACACCCTTGAATGCATCTACGTTTGATATCTGCTCAGAACGACTTGGTGCGCCAAGGCACTGGATGCTGGGATCCGGCGTGTGCGGGTCTGACATGATCTGGTTGTCTGTATTCGTCTGGAGAGATACCACAGTCCATCACCATTGTTTCGCAACCCTGAATCTCCAAGCCAAAGCCCTTGAAATTATCAACTCTTGGACCCTGAAGTAACTTCATATTCATCTCTGAAAGCCTCCCCTCTGAGAAAACTGCAGATGTTTGGCAGAACCCAGGTCTCCTCGCCTTGCCATTCCCTGGATTCCCGAGATGCAGCAGCTGTTGGACTTCGAGTGGAGGGCATGGGGTGTCGGGTTTAATTAGGATGGGATCTATAGTTATGTTTTGAAAATGCTACTTTGTGGCTTAGGACTTCAGATCTAGGAGTTGGCAAGCTGCGCTCTGTGTCGTATTCCTGGACTTGGTATGGGGGAAAAGACATTCCCCAGCGTAAATTCTCATATTGAAGGGCGTAAAGACAAGTTTCTTTTTGTATGCATGTGTTTGTCATTCCGAGTATTCTTTTGGTTTTGTGGTGGAACCAATTTTTGGCAAGCTGCTTTTGCGTGCGCTTGTGTTGTTCCTGGACGGCTGGTAATCTGCACAAGAGAGGACGGAGAAGAAAGAGAGGGCAAACTGATGACTGTAGGGGGTTACCTCTGCAGAGGTACTGTGGTGCTCGAAGGGAAATTATGTTGGTAGAAGCTGTGTTTTTTCGAGGAAGTTACAGTACCATTTTGGAGGACCACCTCTATCCGAACTCGAGCACGATGGATGTCGAGTGCGGGTCTCAGATACAAGGGCATCTGCTCAGTCGGGCTGGCAACAGGATTTTCCAGCTTCTGGATATCGCAGCTTGTTGGGTCCAGATAGTTGACGTCATTTTAAATGCTGGGCATGGCGTGCAGAGGGGTCCGCAGCAGTATCCTGTCAGGCACTTGCTGTCCAAGTCCCAACCTGGGGGCCCAAAGTTACCGGCCAAAATCTAAATCTAGAGGTCCTGGTAGGTAAGTTGTATGCATCTTTTTGCAAATCGTGAGCAGAAGTTAATGAGAAACACAAGTTTTCTAAACGCCCTCAGCAATGCTTACAAGCTTCAACAAATGGAGTCTCAGCCGTAAATCTTGAACTCCAAGCACGTTTCCTGGGCCATCCATGTCCTCTTCCTCGACAGTTTAGACATGCTAGAGCATCATAGCAAGGGTCTACTGGTGCCACACCCTACACCACTGCTGTTTGCCTCATGCCACAGGCCGGGCATCCTGGCGTTTGCCGGCCGTGGCCTAAACCAGAAGTCTATGCGCGGATGTCCACATAGCGGTTGCAGACGCTAGAGAACTTGCAATAACATGTATTGACATGTAATGACTATAGCTTCAATTCCACATTCCGCACATTCATCCCGAATGCATGTGCATCTGCAGACTATACTTGCATGCATACATACGTGCACATACACATGCACATACACAGGCACGTGCACATACACGTACATATGGATATGCATGCCCCCCCCCTGACCTTGAGGTCCCCTCTCCCCGCAGCTGTGGACCCCCCATCTATGGTTCGGTTGTTCCTTGAATGAGCCAGGTTTTTGGTTATGATTATTTGCAAGCAGTCTCAGAGTAGCAGTCTAGCATTCTGGCAAGCACAGGCGACAGCATTGGTAAACCTACACGCCGATTTCTTTTGACAAGCGCAGCAGACAACATTGCTACAAGACCTACATGCCGATTACTTGGGAAACCGGAGCAGTACCTGGAACATGTTTGGCAAGTTTTTTGTCGACAGCTTGCTCGGAGGAAGCAGCTGTTAATCTTGGTACGCTTTCGTGTTGTCGCCTCCTTGGAGGGAGCAGCTATAGAGTTGCAGACTTTGAGTTGAGGGGAGAGGGTCAGCGACTATACAGCTTTTTTTTTTCTTTCGGGCAAGCTGTCGACAGCGCGAAAGCCTGCCAACAATATTCAAGGTCTTGCTCCGGTTCTAAAGATCAACGTGCAGGTCTAGCAGGTCTAGTAGCAACACTGTCCGCTGCGCTTGCCAGAAAAGTACGGCGCATAGGTTTACCCAGGCTGTCCCCTGTGCTTGCCAGAGTGCTACTCTGAGACTGCTTAGGCATAGGCATGCCAATCTTCCAATGCAAGCCTGCAAAATCATGACCAAAAGGCATGCACAGACATTCGTTTGAACCTGGCTCATTAAAGAAGAGCCATAAAGGGGGGGATCCACAGGCACAGGGGGGGGGGCATGATCACAACAGACAAGCCAGACATATTTTTTAAACTTTTTTTGCATGCTGATCGAGTGTTGCCCAAGTGGTTGTGCCTGAGCCCTGATCAGCTTGGAATGAATGCATGGAAGCAACTATGTCATTAGGTTCTGTAGGGACACCCGGGCAACACTCGATCAGCATGCGTAAGCAAAACATCTGGCTCGTTTGCCGGGATCTAGCTTTCATCTGCGCTGCTTCCAAGTTAATTACATATATGCAAGCATCTTAGAATGTTCCTATGTGAAGACATCCGCATGTGCAGCATGGCTCCGAGAGCTCATGCACAGATTCCATGCTAGCCTCACTCATGCTTGTGGGTGGCAGGACTTCCGAAAGCAATCCATTCACTATCGTTGAAGGAGACATACATTTTCCTTCTAAAATGTCTACACGTCCTTAAAGTTTGCGAGGGAATCCTGTTTGAAACGAAACCATGTCATCTCTGCAAAGTTCCACTTTTCATCCCCTGGAAAAAAAGAGCTCGATTGCCGAGAAATGCTGTAGCCCAAAATCCTCCCAAATTGCATGTCCCTTTCTAAAATCTAACCATGCAGAGCTGCAAACAGCGACCTCGAATTCTTGGAACCCCCTCGTGTCTTCCTGGCACTGAGAAGGCTGCGCGGCCTTTTTGAGTGGCAGCGGCTCTCTTGTGATGTTTGCCCCGGCCCAAGCTGCACGGGCATTTGGGATGAGTAGTTGTTGGGTTGAAGGATTTGCTTTAGGCGGTATCAGGTTTGGGGTGAGGGAGTTTGGGGCTTCGGTTTAACTACGGCTTTGGGCTTTGGGATGAACAGCATCGCTGGAAGTATTATCATGTGTTCTTTGCTGTTCTGAGGAAGGCTACTACGACTTTTGTGGATTCAATCAGATTTTTCGATTCCTCTTGTGTCTACTGCTGTCTCTATGAGCAGGGCTACTAACACGCCAGTTGTTGCTACCTGGTACTGTTGTTGCTTGTGCCAATATCATGTATCCAGTCAGTGCATTTCTTCGGCAACCCTCGTTCGGATTCCTTGCAGGTGGCATGTGATTGTGCACGTTGCAAAGCTGGCAGCAAGTGGTTCAAGCCCCATGCCAGGTGAGGTTCTCAACAGCAAATAACAGCAAAAGGCCAATGCTACTAAGGGGCACTTCTTGAAGAAGGACTAAGTTTTGTACTGCAGGTGGGGACCTTTGCTCTAACCAAGTGTAAGACTGAAGAGCAGAATCTTGGGACATTGCGATGAAAACAGGGGTGCAGCTCGGGGTTGTTTTGATACGGGTGCTGCCCCCGAAAAAAATGCGCAGCTTCACCCTTGAAGGTCTGAAGAGTCTAAAGGTTGGAAATTCCGAATATGTTTTCGCAGAGCTTTCCCACTCACTTACCTACATCAGTCCAGGCTTGCCAAGCTTTGAATGTTGTAGTGCTAGAAGGCAACCTGATACTCAAACGTGCTCATGGGCTGCGGTGCCTCCTCCGAACAGTACCGAGAAAACAACTGGGATGCTGAGAAGGAACCAGAGACAGCAGAGGCGCATGGGTCAGTTGATTACGCCTTGCCTGGCGACGCGGCAACGTACGCCACAAGCGTCGACTGCGCATCTGTCCGACAAGACCCGGCCCCTTCGCAGAGAGCCAGCAGCGCAAGTGGTGCCTGGCAAGTAGAGGCCTCTGGAGCATGGGAGACGCTTCCGCCGGACGTCAACCAGGCCCTCACGGAAGCCTACCACTCGGGCCAGACTGTGGCGCTCTACTCTGTTCCTTTCTGTCGCTAAGTAGAGACTGACGGTCTTCGCCATGGGCTGCATGTAGCGGCTGGTCTAGGCAGGTATTCTTTCATTTACTGCTAATCATGCTAATCACCACTGAGGTTCGAGGTGCCCGGCCCAGTGATGATGCGAGCTTCGACGTGGACTTCCGCAGCCTGGTGCAGACCAATCGGAAGACGGGCCAAGTTCTGCAGATCCGCTGGGATGCTTGTGCGAGCGCTGGCAACTGCCAGGTTTGGGTTCGGGTTGGGGGGGTTCGGATGTAGGCCGTTAAGCAGGAAGGGTACCTTTGGGGGTACACAGGTTGGTGTGATGGTATGGCCTGAGCTCCATTCCATAGTAGCATGAGTGGTGTACATTTCGCATCGCTACAGTGTGCTTCAGTCATATGGTCGTTCTGAGTCGTTCTCATAAAATTCTTCATCATATCGCATAAGCCCACGTTCTGTCCATGATTGGAGATTAAAACTTGTGCTCTTTCCTTGGAAAGTCATTGGTCCACCACTTTGCAACATGGACAGGCTGCGGGCCAGGGAGGGAGGACGAGGTATCAATGGGAACTCAAGGACGGCGAGTGGGCAGACTTCGAGGAGGAGGAAGCTGAATTCGAGTTGAGAGCTTGAGGGTTTGATGGTCCTTCGGAGTTTGGGTTTGTAGTTGGACCATTAACAGTCTCAAGCTGCAGTTTTTTTTTTGTTTTTTGTGGGTCCTTTTATTGTAGGGATTATGGAGTATATTGTTATGAAATGGCTCGCCGATTTGAGGTTACGTAAAGACTGTATTGGTCATGGTGTAGAGATTGCAAGGATGCTGCGCGGAGTGCATGGAGACCGCATTGTGCTAGCATTGCTAGGGAATGATGCATGGACCATGAAAGGAGTGTGCGGTGCGGGTGCGTGGGCTTATGATTTCGTCCGGCATCGCTGAAGAGCCCGATACCTTTTCCTTGAATTGAAGCCAGATGGCAGAATACTTTAGGTGTTTTGGGACCCAGAGATTGTAGGGAAGTTCCCAGATTCGCATGCCTACGAGTGCCAAAACAGATGAAAGATGATCGTGTGCTGAAATGCTCAAAGATGCTCAGAGCATACTCCATAATCACAAGAGCAACCCTTACGGACATCGTAGCTACAGTATTTTCCCGCGTAAGTTCCATGAAGACAATCTGCACAGTTTTTTGAGAAACCTTGGAAGAACAGTGCACACGTCCTCCCTGTAATCTCGCACACGAGGGACACTGATTCGCACTATACCTGGCCCAGGAAGAACAGTACATCGTCCGTGCTTGGATGATGGGCCATGACTTCATTCGGTATGCTGCCTGGGGCCTCGAGTACGAGATCAATTTCCCCAGGATGGTGCTGACCCCGGGTCATTGTTGAATGCAATGTTTTTGGGCTTTGGGTTTTGAAGATATAGCTTAGGGAATGGGAGCCGGGGTTCGCTATTGGATGGCATTTTGAAGTGTTCACGGACTGGTTCTCTGGATTCAGGACCAGGAGCTCGGGGCCAGTGCTGAATTTAGTTCTCATGCCTCTGAAGACTTGCACCCAATATGATTCGAATCAACATTATTCATTCTGCCTGTCAGCATCCCCTTAGCCACAGAAGAAATGGACAGTTAACGACATGTCCCATCAGCCCAGGATCAACATCTCCTCCGGGAACAGGCGCCACATTCGTGTAAAGCCAGCTGGATCACTCATGCCGGCGCCCTCCAAGACAGCCCCGCCAGAGGCAGCATCCCCAACCCCGAGCGTCTACGCTCCAAACTCTACATCCCAAGACGTCCTAGGCCCTACACATTAATCCCTTACACCCTTAGCCCCCAACCCGAAACCCTGAACGGGCCTAAGCCCCAAAGAGGCAGCAGAGGAGCCAGCCGAACAGCCTCGAGCTGAGCCTGCGCCGAACTCGAAGCCCGAGGCTCGCAGGGCCGGCAGACCCCAGGACTGGAGCATGTCGAAATAACACTAGCAAGAACGAATAGAATGATGACAAGTAATATGAAAAATCCGGAATAGTTAGTCTAAGAAGCAAAAACCCTTGCAAACATGGTCCTGAAATAGTGAAACATAACAACCAGAAGAATGACAATGATAATGATGGTTTGACAATAGTCGGGTTTCAGGACGTTTTTAGTTTGGGACAGACAGGTAATTCAAAGGTTTATCCACGTTAACTTCATGTAACGCTCTTGTTGATCGTGCAAGAAACTGTGAGAAGTGCGTTTCTGTCATGGTTCAGGACAGCAGCAAGCGCTTCAGCCTGGGAAAGAAGACGGCCCAAGGGGCGCAACCTGCGCCGGATGCGAAGCCAGGCCATGACCCCAAGCGCGAAGCCAAGCCAGGGCCACAGCCGGAGAGGCCTGAGAGGCAGGGCCTGGTAAACCATGGTGGCTTTATGGGCTAGTTTGAACATGAGTATACACATGGGTTTTGCAAGAACTCGGGTGCTACTGTAGCCTAGCCTTTAAGCCCTGGGCCTGCAGAGGTACAGCCAAGAGCTCCCCAGCGGAGCCTCTTGGCCGCCTCTACCTTCTGCCAGGGAGGCAGCCCGAGTGCTCTTTGCAGAGCTCTGCGCCACGCGCCAACGCCCAACGGCTGAGAAGAAATCATTTTACAAGGGACACTGCCTGGCCTGGCATCCAGACAAAAATTTGGATCAGGAGGAGCTCGCCACTGAAGTCTTCAAATTCCTGCAGCTGGTTCGGGATTGGTATTTGGTGGCTTAACTTCTTGGGCTTCCAGCATCTTCCACAAGGTCTGGCAAAGCAAGCTCAAGCGCCAACCCAGAATTTTCTGTCTGCTTTGCAGTCCAGGAGGGTCTCTGAAGCTGCACAGCGCAGCGGCTTTGCTTCCGGCTCGATTTCAAGCGCCGACGTGCATGGTGGGCCTAAGTTTGGCCTGCGATGCAGCAACAGCTCCTTGTGCAAAGCCGCAAGGTCTGTGTTTGTCCCACGGTGAAACGCCATGGCATGCCAACATCGCGTCTCCCTATCCTGGGAAACACAATGCAAAGTAGTTGCAACTCATGCTGCTTTGGTTTTGGTTTGTGATGACGGCGGTGCCTTTGATAGCGGTCATGGTGATGAATTGGTTGCAGTTTGATGCTGTGTCTGCCCATGGCCAGTAAGTTGCTTGTAAGTATACCGCATACCACATCTACTATGTATCTTGGCCGTTTGCTTTTGCGTTCAGTTGCCCTGGCCAAAGCTGCACGGAACCCCATGAAGTCAGCTTTTAAACGAGTCCATTATAGAAAACTGTCATGTGGCCGCTGTAATCCAAAACCATCCCAGATCTTGTTGCTGAGGTCCTCGTCCTGCTCCTGGAGGTTTCTTTAGAGCCAGTCCCTGAGTTGACCACGGCATGCCAAGCAGCAGCAGTAGCACCCGCAGCAGCCGCCGCAGGCAAAGGCAGGCAGTGGCATGGCGGGCAGAAGCCGAAGCAAAGCACAAGCAGGGGATATACATTGCGGTGGAATTATGGCAGGTTTCTGAATTTATGCGGGCCGGTCCCTTTCCTGGCGGTTTCTTGTAGTAAGGACCCTCTCAGTTGTTACAGGCCTACCGCCGTAACGGACTGTAAAGCAGGCGAAGTACAGCTTTAAAGCCCATTCAATCAGCAATCTTTCAAAGCAGTTTCTTCACGATAGATTGCTGAACACGTGCTGGTAGTCAGGCTCGGCTAGGCGTGCAAGCTCTGCCGTCGGAGCTCGTAGCATGTCTCGCAAAGCATTCATTCCTAATATCAAATATTTCGCGCCCCAAAACCCTGGTTAGGCCCTTTCTCATTCCGGTGATCCTGATCTCCATCCTAGCGGCTCGCATGACCACATCGCTTCTCGGCTGCAGGGCATCACTGTTTTGGGCTTGGGAAGTTCCTGGAGGATCCAAAGCGTGCATCACGAAATCAATCGGATATTCCTCAATATGCTGATTCCTGAACCTTGGTGGCGCAAGTGATTGCGTTCCATGCTCGGATCCGATTCGGCCAACTCGGGCGGGTTGCCTGACGAGAGGTGACATTCAGGAGCTTTTGGGCTATCTCCGGATGTCTCCAGGACTGCATCTTTGTTCTAATGGTGGATTGAGCCACATACACGGGGTTGTCATATTTTTTGGGGGGTTCTCAAAGAGCCTTTCCAGTAGCATCTTGGGTGGTCAGAAGTTGAACCAGCTGGCTGTTCGGTCTCACAGGGAAGCCACAATACTTTACTGGACAATTCTCCGTCACTTGGGCCGCAAAGGCAACAGAAATCTAAATGGCCCGTCAATGCAGTGGTCTCCTTTTCGTGTTTTCCTCCATAGCGCCATGAATTTTGCTACAAAATCATCAAATGCCCAAGCCGATGACCGACATTGTGGAACTTCCTTTCAGTCTCCTTCTGCTGCTTATTGCGCTGCCTGCCTCCAAGGCTTCTGAAGTCGCATGGCGCGCGACCCATTGAGCTTCGCTGCTTCAAGACAACCCCAGATACCCCTGGCTTATCCATTCGCACGACATGTTCAGGATCTGAACGGATAGGGAGGGTCACAGTTAGGCTGACAACACAAGAGTGAATCCAGAACCTGGGCTTTGGACAAATCGGAAGTCCAGACACGTCAGCCTTGACTCCGAAACCCAAAAGCCAGAACCCCATGGCTGTGAGGCCTGTACCATGAGCTGATGAACGTCCAGTCTCTGCCTTTTCTGGCAGAGGTGGCCCACTGGCGCCAAGGCTGAGCGCCTGGAGCAAGCATGGAGCCCCTCTAACACTCAGGGATTACTCAAGGTTGTGTAGAGTCTATATAGGCTTGAGGGTGTTGTTCATGGGCTATGCTACGGCAGGCCAGCATGCATTTTCAAAAGGCAGAGGTCTTTGAAGGGGATGCCATGCTGCGTTGGTAGCATCTTCATATTCATACGTACAGGAGTTGTTCGATGGGAGTTTGTGGGAGGGAGTTCGTGGGTCTAGACGTAGCGTTACCGGGATTAAGCAGTCGTTGTCGTCTTGTTCTGCACGCGTGATTGCCAAAGCATACTCGGTCAGACAGGCCACTACACTGTTGAAGCCCTTCTTTGGGAAGAAGCACGCGCTGAGCTGAGCCAACGCAGAAGCCAGAGGGAAGAATACAAGCCTGACTCCCGACGGAAATCCCCCGTGCAATTCATGTAGTCTGCATAGTACATGGCGTCCAAAAACACTGCAGGGCCTTGTGGCCTTATGGCAACTATCTTCTAGACTCTAGATTTATACCTTCATGAGGGAGCCCAAGGATTGTTCCTAGCAAGTGCTAGTGCTTCGTTGTGGCTCAACGAGTGGTCTTCGAGTGTTCTTCCAAGATCTGCGTCTCCTGGGTGACTTTACAATAAGGTGTGGTAAAGTGTCATCATACGAGTAAGCTGTTCCCAATGTGCTCTGAAGTTAGACCCTAAACCCTACAAGCCTAAAGGCCCCAAAACAAAGTTTCAAAGGCACCCAGCGATTGGTGGCACATGCGCAGCTGCCTCGGTGAACCTCTCCCAAAAAGGCCATACTAAGACGGTTCCATTTTAGTAGCCTGGTAAAGGATCTAGCTCTTCATTCTAAACCCCGGAATTGTGTTGGTGCACGCTTCAGCAAGAGCCTGGTTCTTTGAATCACTTGAGCGCACGTATTTGCGGCTTGACCTCGCCAGTTGTGAGCATTCTGGGTGCCCCAAGCTTGCGAGGTCTGGGGCTGGTGGTGGCGAGCCGCTCTCAACGTTCACGCGCAATGCAGACGACGCTCCAGAAGTGCGCCTGAGCCACAGGTGTTGGAGTTTTGGGAACAAGACAACTTGAGCCACTCTTCCAAGGTTCAAGGATGTTGTAGATACTTTTTCAAGTTTCTGGCGCTGCTGTGGGCTGATGCTAGACTTCTCAACATTCGAGCAACTACCCAGGCGAGTTCCCGGAAGTCATCTCAATCTCGAGGCCAGCGGATGCTTTTTCTGTCAGCGTTCGTGTAAAAGGAACCTAGATAAAGGGTAGGTACGAGGACTGTCTGAGAGGACAGGTAAGTATCGTAGAAGGAACCATGGGTACAGATACTATCCTGTTGCAACTAGTTTCGCAGGCACGTTGTGGATGCCTTATGCGTCGACATGGCAGGACGGCAACACAGAGCGAGATCACGGAAGTGTCCGGATCCTTAGCGCCAGTGTCGAGTACGTAAGGGGAGGTAGCGGATTCCAACCAATAGTTTCTAGTAGGCCTTACCTTTATAAAGCCCTCAACCTGAACCCTTAAACAAACCCATCTCCTTGAACTCTAGAATAACAAATCATCAGCCAAAAGCATTGTGCCCGTGGAGCCACTGCAGGGTGCAGAAGCGGCTTCCTGGAGACGAGACGCAGCTCGGCCGCAGAGTTTGCCACGCGTGTGGGGGATTTTCCACAAGCTTGAATCTGGAGCATGTTTGCAAGCCCTGAAGCGTTCAAAATCCCTAAAGCCTAAGGCCAGGGATCAGAGGCCTCAAAACCGTAAACCTCAGCCCTCGAACTCCTCTTAAAAACTCGGCCAGGACATTGGTCAACGGCTTCCCTGTAGTAGACCCTGCCGGCCAGCTGTGTGGTCTGGTCACACGCGAGGCACGGGACCTCGGCTCTGCGAATTCGGGTTTGCGACTTTGAGTGTAGGATTCATTGGAGCTTCGCACGTGTGGCTTGCAATTTGGGACTGAGGGTTCAGGGTTGATGTTCTGAGGGTTCACACGGGTTGCGCAGAGATTTCACCGAGATGAACTATTGGACAGGGGACAGGTCTCCTTCTGTAGGAAATGCGGGATTCTATACAGGCTTTGTTGGGATAATTTGGAAGACATGTGAGAGTTTTTTCTCACTTCCCGAACCCCGACCTTTCCCAGAAGATCCCTAAAGTCACGCTGGAATCAGCGTTATAAGCTCTGTCCTAGTTGTGTAGGCCCCCAACAAAACAAACACGAATCCTCAACCCTCCCTTGGAAACCCTGAACGAAGCTGGAATACCCTGAGGCACTCATGGGCCTTCTTGCACAAGAAAGGGCTGGCTTCCTGGATGTGTGTGTGTGTGTGTGTGTGTTTGGGGTTTGAGTAGGGGCTTAGATTGCGAGCCTCTCCAAAATCAGAGGCCCATCGACCCCTGCCCTGCCAACTACAGGGTCCTAATTTGAAAGGACTGTCAAGGGATCCATCAATTTGTAAAACTGTTGTGTTGTTGTGTTTGCTTGATGAGGTCATTTGTTGCGAAGTGTGAGTTTCAAGCTGAGGGTTTCGGATCAAGGATTCATGGTCTAGGTGTGTGCAGGACCCTGTTGATATGAAAGAACTTGTTTCTCTTTCACAGCCATCACAGCCTTGCAGGTTTGTAAGCCTTGGAGCTCACCACGCACTGTTGATGTATCCTTTCTCATGCCGCACTCTCTTTCAGCATTCTGAGCGGAGCCACTTCTGTAAGCTACCAACTGGCGCAGGGATGCGGGAGTCTCCCGATCAAATTATCCTGCAATCCCTTCACGTACTGTCCAGGATTCCAGGGTGTTCTGCACATCCCACGAAGGGACTCTGCAAGGACCTTTCTGATGTTGCTTTCAGGTGCCATCTGAGACCTCAGGCTCACATCGACCTCGCTCAGGCGTGGTTTGCTGGGTGTGCATGTTCAGGGTTCTAACAAGAATCAAAGACTCAGAGGTTCAGGGGTTTGATTTGAGGGCTTGTCTGGTTCCCAAAATTCAGCCGACATATCAGTGCAT